GCCGGAGAAGACCTCAACAAAAGACTGATTCAACACAAGATGGAAGCTCAGCCCTAATTGCAGATTATGTCCCCTCGTACGGATTCTACTAATTAGATATCCTCATCCTTACATAGCAGGCAGGCAAAGTTGTGCAGGTGAAGACCGCATCATCTCTGCCTGCACAAGTGTGCCTGCAAATTAATAGAACTGTCCTTTCAAAAATCCTGGAGAAAGAATCGAAGACTTCAACAAAATACATCTTCAGAAAATGGACGTAGAAAAACCCTTCCACCTTACTCGAAGAGACTGAAGCCCATACCCTCATCCTCTTCCTCCTCTTCTGCTTCCTTCTCTATTTCCTTCTCCGGCTCCGCGGCGGCAACGCCGCCAGCTGCGTCACCTCCACCACCGCCCCCAGCACTCACGGCGACTGCGCCGCCACCAGACGGGACCGACGAGAATTTTTCCCTTCCAGCCGCGAGACATCCTTGCCCTCTAGCTCGTTCATCAACTTCTCTTGTGATCAACATCTGCACTCACTGTTTCTAGGATGTCAGCAATGCCATCCGCCGTAAGTTGGGCCTTCCTGCCGAGAACGGCCAGCAAATATGTTGCGACGTACTTCATTTTCGAGAGAGGGAGAGTTGCACGTTGAGTACAGGCTACAACGTTCTATTGCTCCAGTACTTTCCCGCACTTGTGATGGCTGGCTTGCGCTCAGGCGATCAACCGCTACCACCTTCAAGAGAGAGACAGTTCCCCGCAGCTTAGTTGATCTGTACGAGGGAAGACGTTGTGCGATCTTGTAGCGGATCGGCCTTGCCGAATACGTCCGGGCAATTATCCCACCAGCATCTGCAACTACCATCCAGGAGGTCCAGGGTTCAATCCTCATTCACCACCTTGCGCACACTTACTGGGAACAAAGTTCAACAAACTGAGATAGTTGGCTTGCTCCACATTTCTTTTCTTTGGTAACTTAAAGGTCTTTGGCTGCACAATGTGTGGAAGAGTGATGGCCTTAGCACACATACTGGCAAAATGCTTAGGGTGGGACCCCACAGGAAAAAGGTTGGAAAAAGCGGTCAGCCACAAGAACAAGGGAAAGATTTCTAGAAAGCTGGAAAGTAGTTTTGTGGGGAACCCACCGCGGAGTACGTTTTGCGGCAAAATGGATAAAATGTTTTCCATTTTGGGAAAGCAACTTGCCGAACTTCCAGGAAAGGAAAGTGTTGGGGTGTTCGGGGTACTGGGAATGGACCGAACGAAGGACCATCCACGACCCGTGAGTAGCACAGTGCGGCGTGTGACGCGCAACCTCACGCCCTGTGCTGTCTTTCCTTCGGAGTGCTAGATGTGCGGAAAGAGGCCCAGAAAAACAGCAAGATGGGGTGTGCCAAGGATTTTTGGAAATTGAGTGTGGGGACACAGGCGGAACTGAAATCCCCCGTG